TATCACCATGTACTAAATTAAAATCTAAATGGTCAAAGATCTGAATATTAAAACAAAAACACCAAATCTATTGGAAGACAAATTGGGTAGAAACCTTGGAGACATAGGAGTAGGTAGAGAATTCATGAACAGGACTCAAACCGCACGGGAAATACTTCCCAGAATCAATAAATGGGACCACTTCTTATTAAAATGTTTCTGCATGTCAAAAGAAATCTCTAGCATAGTGAAAAAAACCCACAAACTGGGAAAAGATTTTAGTGAACTCTCTCTCACACAAGGGACTCTTGTCTAAAACATATAAAGAATTAAAAAAACTCAGACCTCCAAAATTCAAAGATCCAATCCAAAAATGGGCATCTGAGATGAATACGCAATTCTCAGATGAAGAAATGCAAATGGCAAATAAATACATGAAAAAATGTTCATCATCATTAGTCATTAGAGAAATGTAAATTAAAACCACACTGAGATACCATCTCGCTCCTGAAAGAATGGCCAGGATCAAGAAAACCAGCAACAAATGCTGGAGAGGCTGTAGGGGAAAAGGAACTCTCCTGCACTGCTGGTAGGAGTGTAGACTGGTACAGCCTTTGTGGAGATATGTCTGGAGATTTCTCAAAAAGTTGGGATTGGAAATCCCATTTATTCCAGCTATTCCACTTCTAGGTATATTCCCAGAAGAACTGAAAGCATCATACCACAGTGATATATGTGCACCTATGTTTATAGCAGCATAATTTGTAATTGCCAGATCTTGGAAACAACCCAAGTGTCCATCAACTGAGGAATGGATAAAAAAGTTTTGGTATTTCTATACAATGGAGTATTATTCAGCTATAAATAAGGATCACATTGAGATATTTATCAATAAATGGGCGCAGCTTGAGACCATACTCATAAGTGAAATAAATCAATCTCGCATGTGTGAATACCGAATAGTTTCCCTAATGTAAGTAATGATTCAAATATGTAAAAATATGTGGTAATCATGATTCCCCATTATGTGGCCTTGAAGCCTTATGAAGTTTTCACTCATTAATTAGAAAGGCTTTATTCTGGGCTTCTTGATATGGAAATATTTGAAGCTAGAGTATATGAAGTTTTATCCAAATATTTCAAGGAAAAAGACAGATACAATGGTAACTACTATTAAGTCGGGTTATATGGTTGTGAAGCACTAGGTTGCTGAAACAGTCATGATTTGACCTCTATTGTTATATTGTTATGTCCTGTTTTATCTCAATCTACCCCTTATTCTTTTAAAAAATTATTTAGTCATTTCTTATGTTTGTCTTACTTAAGGGAAATAATTAAAAAATTAGGATATATAAATAGTAACTCTTTTTGATTTCCTATTAACTTGTTTTGAAGTCCTGTAATACTCCCACGATCTTGTTTTGACTGATTAGACTCTATTCCATTCTGCATGATAGTATCAAGTCTGAGGATATAGGCAACTACTTTGAAGACAATAAGATTCACTAAGATGCCCATTCTGGTTTGACTATTGCCTCTTTGGAAGTCCTGTAATGTTTACAATGCCTAAGTTTTATTGGTCTTGTTCTCTACCGTTTTGTCCAACTTTATAATATCTAATGAGATAGACAATTCTTTTTAAGAAAACAAGAGACAACGTTGATAACCATTGTTGATAACCTTGTACTCTGTTCTACACCATGTGCTATGTCTATCCTTAGTTTTGACTGACAGCTTTGTTTTGCCATATTTGACTGTATTCTTCCCCCCCCCCCAAAAAAAGTAATAAGCACTAAGGAGTAATAAAATCCAGAATGTGTACATTTTGTTGTAAAAAAGAGAGGGAAAAAAAATACAAAGATCTCTAACGGAAATAACAGCAAGTGTGTTTAGGGGTGTTAAATAGCTGACTATATCAATGTTTTTGGATCATTGAACACAGCTGTTTGCAGTCTCCATGTTTGAATGTCCACCTTTTATGCTTTGATACTGTGATTTGAGCAACTATTTTCAAGATGATAATATGTAATCTATTAACAGGTGATTTCTTACTGTTATGTGTTTTTTTGTAGTTCTGTATTATGTGTACCCTTACACCGCTTTGTTTTGTTTTGTGTTTTTCTCTTTTTCCTCTTAAATAAAAAAAAGAAAGTTTTATAAAGTGAAAATTATAATACACTGAAAAAGGAAATTGAAGATGATCTCAGAAAATGGAAAGACATCCCTTGCTCATGGATAGGAAGAACAAACATTGTGAAGATGGCCATTCTCCCAAAACTGTTATACAGATTCAATGCAATCCCAATAGAAATACCATCAACATACCTTATAGATCTAGAGAAATCACTCCTAAATTTCATCTGGAACCAGAAGAGACCTAGAATCGCTAAGGCAATTCTAGGCAGCAAAGACAAAGCAGGAGGAATCACTATCCCTGACTTGAAGTTATACTACAAAGCAGCAGTAGTAAAATCAACATGGTATTGGAATCAAAACAGAGTTGAAGATCAGTGGAATAGATTAGAAGATACATCTACAACTACAAACACACTCAACCACCTTATCTTTGATAAAGGAGCCAAGCAGGTTCACTGGAAGAATGGCAGTCTCTTTAATAAATGGTGCTGGAAAAACTGGCTCTCCATTTGCCGAAAACTAAAGCTAGACCCATGTCTATCACCATGTACTAAATTAAAATCTAAATGGGTCAAAGACCTGAATATTGAAACAGAAACACTAAATCTATTGGAAGACAAATTGGGTAGAAACCTTGGAGACATAGGAGTAGGTAGAGAATTCATGAACAGGACTCAAACCGCACAGGAAATACTTCCCAGAATCAATAACTGGGACCACTTCCTATTAAAAAGTTTCTGCATGTCAAAAGAAATCTCCAGCATAGTGAAAAGAAAACCCACAAACTGGGAAAAGATTTTAGTGAACTCTCTCTCACACAAGGGACTCTTGTCTATAACATATAAAGAATTAAAAAAACTCAGACCTCCAAAATTCAAAGATCCAATCCAAAAATGGGCATCTGAGATGAATACGCAGTTCTCAGATGAAGAAATGCAAATGGCAAATAAATACATGAAAAAATGTTCATCATCATTTGTCATTAGAGAAATGAAAATTAAAACCACACTGAGATACCATCTCGCTCCTGAAAGAATGGCCAGGATCAAGAAAACCAACAACAACAAATGCTGGAGAGGCTGTGGGAAAAAGGAACTCTCCTGCCCTGTTGGTGGGAGTGTAGACTAGTACAGCCTTTGTGGAGGTCTGTCTGGAGATTTCTCAAAAAGTTGGGATTGGAAATCCCATTTATTCCAGCTATTCCACTTCTAGGCATATTCCCAGAAGAACTGAAAGCATCATACCACAGTGATATATGTGCACCTATGTTTATAGCAGCACAATTTGTAATCGCCAGATCTTGGAAACAACCCAAGTGTCCATCAACTGAGGAATGGATAAAAAAGTTTTGGTATTTCTATACAATGGAGTATTATTCAGCTATAAAGAAGGATCACATTGAGATATTTATTAATAAATGGGCGCAGCTTGAGACCATACTCATAAGTGAAATAAATCAATCTCGCATGTATGAATACCGAATAGTTTCCCTAATGTAAGTAATGATTCAAATATATAAAAATATGTGGTAATCATGATTCCCCATTATGCGGCCTTGAAGCCTTATAAAATTTTCACTTATTAATTAGAAAGGCTTTATTCTGGGCTTCTTGATATGGAAATATTTGAAGCTATAGTATATGAAGTTTAATCCAAATATTTCAAGGAAAAAGGCAGACTCTATGGTAACTACTATTCTTTAAAAAAATTATTTAGTTATTTCTTATGTTTATTTTAATTAAGGGAAAAATTTAAAAAATTAGTATATATAATAGTAACTCTTTTTGATTTCCTATTAACTTGTTTTTAAGTCCTGTAATACTCCCACGATCTTGTTTTGACTGATTAGACTCTGTTCCATTCTGTGCGATAGTATCAAGTTTGAGGGTATAGGCAACTACTTTGCAGGCAGTAAGATTCACTGAGATGCCCATTCTGGTTTGACTATTGTCTCCTTTGGAAGTCCTGTAATGTTTACAATGCCTAAGTTTTATTGGTCTTGTTCTCCACTGTTTTGTCCAACTTTATAATATCTAATGAGATAGACAATTCTTTTTAAGAAACAAGAGACAACGTTGATAACCATTGTTAATAACCTTGTACTCTGTTCTACATCATGTGCTATGTCTATCCTTGGTTTTGACTCACAGCTTTGTTTTGCCATATTTGACTTTATTCTCTCCCCCCCCAAAAAGTAATAAAAACTAAGGAGTAATAAAATCCAAAATGGGTAAATTTTGTTGAAAAAAAGAGAGGGAGGAAAAATAAAAAAGAGCTCTAACGGATATAACAGCAAGTGTGTTTAGGGGTGTTAAATAGCTGACTATATTAATGTTTTTGGATCATTGAACACAGCTGTTTGCAGTCTCTCTGTTTGAATGTCTACTTTGTATTCTTTGATACTGTGATTTGAGCAACTATTTTTAAGATGATAATATGTAATCTATTAACAGGTGATTTCTTAGTGTTATGTTTTTTTTTGTAGTTCTGTATTATGTGTAACCTTACACTGCTTTGTTTTGTTTTGTGTTTTTCTCTTTTTCCTCTTAAATAAAAAAAAGAATATTCAAGCACGTTTCTACCATAAATTATCCTCACAAACCAAGGTTTTACTGAATTTACTTAGTATATTTTTTGATTGTAGATAATGTGTACACCAACATGAGTATTGGTTTGTGAAGAATTTATATATTGAGGGTAGCATACCTCTCTTACACTTTTCTCTTTTTTTGTTTCTTGTATCAAAGATCTTGTATCATAGATGGTGCTGTTAAAAAAAATCAGTGCTCACAGTTTTTTTTTTAAATGAAAATTTCTCCTCGGAAGTGTCCAGCAGGCCTTCTGGTTCCATGTTTTCCGTCTCTCTCAAGTAATCATTCACTTACCTTATTGGGTAAAGCTGCATCAATCTCCTGCTGCAATTTCTTCTGTATATCAGGGTGAGTGGCCAATTCATACATAATGAAGGAAAGGGAATTGCTAGTAGTCTCATAACCAGCCAAAATAAAATTAGCTGATTGGGCTGTGATTTCCACATCAGACAGAGCTGAAAGGAGAGGAAAGACTTTCAGGTAAAGTAGAACTTACCAGTTTAGCTGAGGAAAAACCCATGTGAACCTGCTAAACCCTAGGGAAAAACTTGGGGAAACAACTCAGAGTCACACAGCAAATGGATTTCACTGTGTTATTTGTCTCTCTTACAAACCAGAAAATAGGCAAAATAATTTTATTCACCTGTTCAATGTTTACTCTGCTCTTGACCACCTGCTTTCCATTATGCCACCATGTTCACCACTACGGCTCAGAACTTCAATACATGGTGCTTCAGTCTAACACACTCACTCTTATTATATGCTTTGGATAATTATAAATTAGCTTTTAATAATACAACACAAAACTTTAAAAATCTTAGTGAAACATGTTGGAAAATTCTCAAGGTAGCTTTCAGACTGAGGCTTCACTGTATGCAAAATTAAAGGATGTTTTATCTAATCCTGTATGAGAGAATTCAAGAAAACAATATTAGCCTACAAAGAAACTCTTGCAACTCAAAGTATAATCTATGAGTCAGAACCACTTGGGAGCTAATAGATAACACAGAGGCCATAATCTCAACTCAGAACTACCAAAGTAAAAATATGGACTTTTAAAATGTGTTGATTCATGCCTTGGATGGGGCATTAGATAATGAAGTACCACTGGCAACAGACTTCAGAATAGGTTATTATACAGTGCACTGGTGATTGACCAAAAGTCTAAAGAGTGGCATTAAAGTAGGAGAAGGAAGAATGTGTGGATAGAAAGGATTTGGGCATGAAATGTATGAAAATGGCAACCAATGAGTTACATTAGCACTATGTATTCAAAGTAGATTCATTGTCTTTCTATTCTCAGCAAATATCCTTATGGTAAGACACTGGCCTCACTTTCAACTTTATCATGACATAGGTCATCATCATCATGCAATAGTCTGTTTATTTCTTTGTTTAGTCCCTTTTTGTAACTGGAACACTGAAATAAATATGTTGTCTACTACACCACTCATAGATTTAAAAATTAAACCCAGTATAAAATATATCTTTGAAAATCTACCCAGTTCTGATTTTACAACTATCACTTCTCTCCTGTTATAGTAGGAAAAACCAACTAATCAAATAGGTCCTCCTAGGTAGCACAAAACTGTGTGAATGAAACTTGAATGCATACTCAAAATTTTGAGTACTGCAATGCACTGTGGCAGTATGCAGCCATTGGCTAATTAAATTGAAAGTGAAATACTTTAAAATTATATGTTATAGTTCATTACTTCATTGACACCAGCCAAAGGCCAAGCACACAATACTAAAATTATCTAGCAGGATTTTTTTTGTCTTTTAGGTCTTGCTCTGTGGTTCAGGCTGGCCTTGGACTCACTTTGTAGCACAGGTTGGTCTCAGACTTGCAATGATCCTCCTGTCTCAGCCTCCCAAGTGCTGGGAATACAGGAGTATGCCACCACACCCAGCTTCTAGCAGTTATTTTGAATACTATAAAAAGAATATTTCCTTTACCAATGGATTTAGTAAAGCAGAGACAGACAGAAACTTAGAGATAGAGAGATAGAGACATAGGGTCAGAGACAGAGACAGAGAAGGGGGACTATTGTTAGAAAGAAAGATGGATAGACTCAGATGAACATACTGATATATACAGAGTGGTGTACTATCAGATCATCTCTGTTCTAGACTCCTTTGCTAAAGATTCAGGACTTTTGGAAGAGTGGTCACATTATTGGTAGTTTGAAATTGACTATGATAGGGCTGGGGATTTAGCTCAGCGGCATAAGTGCCTGCCTTGTAAGCAGGCAGTCGTGAGTTCGATCCCTGGTACCAATAAAAAAACGAAAAAGACCAAAAAAAAAAAAAAAGAAATTGACTATGATAGAATTATTGAAATTATGTTAAAGAAATAAGTTATTAATCAGAAAATTTCAGTGTGAGAAGAGAGAGAGAGAAAGGAGAGAAAGACATTTTATATCACTGTTTATGGAGTCATAGAAATTGTTCTTTGCAAATATTTTTCATTTTCTTTAGCTTTGTCCAATTAGAATGTAAAAGCAAACCAAAGTCACAGTAGATATGATCACACTGCCCCACTGTCTTGGTTTACTTTTCTCTCACTGCTAAGACAAAATACCTAACACCCCAAATTAAGGTAGGAAAGGTTTATTTAGCTCACACTTTGTGGAGGTTTCAGTCCATCATTGACTGGCTCCAAGACAGGGTGGCATGACAAGGGGCAACAGTTTATAGTAACAGGGAGCAGCAAAGCCACAAAAGCAAAGAGGGGAGAAAAGCAAGTTTCTTTTCCTTTCTTACATTGTAATCAGGCTACACCCCTTGGATGGGTGCAGCACTTACACCATCTGGGTGCCCTCCTCTTGCACAGGCTGAAGATGTTTACAAAACAAGGACCCTGGCTCCCTGCTGAGTCACTTAGTTACTTCTAAACTTTTCAAATTGACACAATGTATCAACCATTATATCCACTAAAAAAAGAAAAAGAGCTCTAAGGGATATAACAGCAAGTGTGTTTAGGAGTGTTAAATAGCTGACTGTATCAATGTTTTTGGATCATTGAACACAGCTGTTTGCAGTCTACCTGTTTGAATGTCCACCTTGTATTCTTTGATACTGTGATTTGAGGAACTATTTTCAAGATGATAATATGTAATATACTAACAGGTGATTTCTTACTGTTATGTTTTTTTTGTTTGTTTGTTTTGTTTTGTTTTTTTGTAGTTCTGTATTACGTGTACCCTTACACCGCTTTGGTTTGTTTTGTGTTTTTCTCTTTTTCCTCTTAAATAAAAAAAAAATTACTTAGTGTATGGAAAGCACCCTTCACACTACTTAAAAGGACTGTTAGAAAAGTCTCAGAAAATCTAAACAAAAAGTGAGAAAAACTGCATGGATATGTATAGGTGAGTAAGTAATAGTGGGAAGAATTTATGACTCCCCAGTATTGGGTATTGACATATAAACATACAAGAAATTATGGAATTCAAAATTTGTCATTTTTCACAGTTTTAACTGGAATGCTTTTAGTAAAAAACCGTATATGGATGATAATAGCAGTGTGTCAGAAATGAAGAAGAAGGGAATGTTTCTGCAGTCAGAAAGATTTACCTCAGGACCTATTATTTTGGAACAAAAAGAAAACTAAACTTTTATGCTATTTGACCTGGAGAATATTCTACAAATTTCTAGTAAGCAGCGTGCCTCTGAGTGAATGCCTAGAAGCAATTCTCAAGGGAGACATTCTGGTTTATTTCTTGCAGGTAAGACTGAGAATTAGCACTTGTTCAGATATAGGTGAACCAGGACCTTCATGAATTACATCCATAAAACGGTTGCTTGTAGGCATCCTTCAAGGTTAGAATGTACTCAGTCTCATGTTTACTGCAAACTGCATCAGGGTTTCATGTGTAATATCCAAGTATATGTTTTTAGTCATTTGACACATGTTCTCCTCTGACTGCAAACTCTTACACAATTCCCAAACAGGCTTTTTCTCCCTCTTGGATCCCCTTCCTATAGACCATGAAACACTGTTGGTTACCTTTATAGGATTCTGTGTCTTTGGAATTCTGGGAATTCATCATCAACTGAAGAAAATCCACCCGGTGCTTGAAGATAAAAGAAAATATTCAAAGATAGAAGGTTAAATATGAAGTTAAAAATAATCCAGTACTTGCAGTACAGAAGTTAATCTTCCTTCTTTGCATATGGATCTTTCAAGCCCTGAGGTCTGGCTGAGCTTGACATCAATCTCTAAATTTTGGAGAGCAGGAGTTTTCTCTGTATGAATCCAGCTTTTGAGTTCAATAATACTTTGTTTCTGCCCTCCCCAACTTCCTGATCAGAGAGTTGCCTACAATTCCTGTCTGACCTATTTGTTCAGGAAGCAATCCCACACTTCAAAAATTTTGTATATTACTGCTTTAATTTTTTACCTGTAGTCCCATAGATTAATACTCTGCCATATGCAGATCTTAGAAGCAAGGCCTATATAGTTCTCAGTGACACCTGATATATGTGCAGTTCTCCCTTTCTGATTTTCAGGCTCCACAGCCACGTAAAGACTAAGGTGAATTTCTTAGCTTACAATTTCAATATGCAGGGAATAACTCTGACTGTTGCAGGGCAGGAAAGGTGCAAATTTAATACAGCCAAACTGCAGTGATAATAATTTCCATTGGAAAGTGTGTTTAGTAAGTGGCCTGAATTTGAAAGAATTCTTTACCAATATAAGATCTTGGGATTATGGGTACCAATAAATATAATTGGTAAGCACTAATAGTTATCATTTGACAGTTTGTTGAAACAAAAAGTCCTGTTTATTTTAAGAATACTTACATCAGAAAATTCTTACGCTTCTTTTTCAATATTGAACTGTCTCTCTGATTCCCGCTCATAACAACTTCCTAAACATCATGTTCTTCATTCTTTATAAAAATGCCTATTATCTTTATCTACATTCAACAAGACAGAGGACATATGCTGACCCTAACCGTACAGCCTAAAACATTACCAAATGTCAACACGTTTATTTTACTACCACTACATTTTACCTTTTGGTTACTTTCCAGGCGATTTTCTATAGCTTTTTTTACAAAGTCAATGAAAAATTCTGTAGAATCTTTTGCAAATAAGGATATACCTAACATCTCATATATTGGTATAAGGAAGGAAAAGATACCTGAAAAGGAAAGGAAAAAAAGACTTTAGTGAAAATTCAAAATTTGTTTGCTTGTATTGATATTCTGAAATGATTAGAAGAATAAAAGATGTTAGCTTAAACTGGGAGTCATTTTTTTAACTTTTGCTTGAAATCCTCCAAGATTCTTATTCATCTGGGGCACATCACACAAAGATTCACTGTCATACTGAGATTAGTGGCCCTCTCTATAGCTTTGGAGTGACCAAAGAAGTCTGATTAAATTTCCTGAAATTTCATTTTATTGTGAGCTGTGATAGACTTTTTGATGCTGTAAATACAAGTATGGCTCAACAACGAGTCACAAGTATAGAACCTGTAGCACATGTCCCCCAACTATGTACTTTGGAAGGAAGCCATATAGGTCAAGACAAAAATAGAATAGTGGAACTCACAAATGTTTGCAAAGTAATAAATAAAACCTCCAATATAAGTAGTAGATGAAAGAAGAATTAAAATAATTTGAAGAGCATATTAAATGTGGAGAAGGTAAGGGAATATGAGCATGGATGGAGGAGATCAAAGGGAGGGAAAGAAATGGTAAGTAAAAAGAATCAAAGTGAAAATTTTTACAAACACACACAGCATTGTAAAATAGCTAATAAAAATTAGCAATAAAAAGAGAAAGAATTGAATTCATGTAAAAGAAAAGGAACTCCAAGTGTCAAGTAGTAATTTTATTGCACTAAGTAAAAATGAAAACATAATAGACCCCACTTCACAGATTGAGCATAACTAGCATTCAGAGGCAAATATATAGCTACATTTTTGTTTATGTTTCCATGTGTTTGCACTATGTTTTAAAAACATGTTTCCATGTGTTTGCATGAAGTTTGTACCATGTATCACTAAAATGACAAGAACATAAACTTAAAAGCATAAAGAAGAGAGTAAGAAATACGAACTTTAAACTAATGAAATAAATAATAAAAATTAAGATAGTCATCACAGTTTATCAGTGGTAGAGCTGGGAGCTGCTGCAAGTTCCCCTACTTCCTATACAGAGCTGTCTAACATGAGGCTGCTGTCATCAGAGCAAAAATTTACACAGCCACACTTGAAAAGTCTAAATAATACATGTGAGGTATAGAGGACTCTCTTCTGTGCCGAAATCAGAAATCTATTCAAAAGGTCTGACTCTGGGGATTCCAAGTGAGCATGTTTCGCTGCCGCGCCTAGCCATCGGTGTGCAGAGGAGGGGCAGGGCGGATCTGGGGCGCCTGCATCGGCCTCTCCGTGTGTCTGGAGGACTGTGGATATCTCTGCAAGCAGGGAGGGATCGCAGGTTCCTGAGGCACCGCGGCCTGTGGTGAGTGCTCAGCACACTCTGCCCAAATCTCAGACTGTTCTGGACCCTCCAGGCTTCCGGGTGCAGTGAAGTGGAGAGGTGGGTTTGAGGCCTCTACATCCGCCTCCCCATCCTGGCTGCACTTGGAGAACTGCTGAGCTTCCTACAGGTGGGCGGGCCCACACTATCCCCAGAGCCCAGCCTGTTTCGCTGCCGCGCCTAGTCATAGGTGTGCAGAGGAGGGGCTGGGCGGATCTGGGGCACCTGCATCGGCCTCTCCATGTGTCTGGAGGACTGTGGATATCTCTGCAAGCAGGGAGGGATCACAGGCTCCTGAGGCACCGCAGCCTGTGGTGAGTACCCTAACCCGGCTGCAATTGGAGAGCTGTGGAGCTTCCAAGGGGCAGGTGGGTGCACAGTGTCCCTGAGGCCCAGCTTGTCTGGAACTGTGAAGTTCTGAGCAGGCAGAGGAGGGCCATTGGTTCTGCAGGCCCAGTGGCTTGGGGTAGTGTGGTGCCAGAGTCTCAGTAACTGCAAACATAGAAGGGGATTTTCAACAGATCCTGAGGAAGCTTTCAAATAACACGTGAAACACAGAAATATAGGAAAATGACAAAATGAAAGACCAAATTACAACCCCAAACTTCTAGCCCATCTCAAGAAACCCTAGGAGCGATGTATATAGAAGAAAATATATGCCATCCACCTCAAATATCGGACACAATAGCCACCGAAATTGACAAGCAACTCCAGGAAGCTTTAAAGAAATTCAAACTCAAAATAATCTCCCAGATAAAAGAAGAAATGATAAAAGAAATGAAAGAGATTCTGAATATATCTAAAGAAAACACAGATAAAAAATTGGAGGAACTAAAAAAAATTAAGATAGTAAAAATAAAAGCTGTTTCTTTGAAAATCATCAAATGTCAAAACATTACATAGATTGAAAGAGAATGGAAGCTGAAATAGCATTCATATTAAAGACCATTATTTATTCCTCTTCCTCTTCCTCATCCACCTCCTCCTCCTCTTCCTCCTCCTCTTCTTTGTCTTCTTCGTTGTCTTCTTCTTCTTCTTCTTCTTCTTCTTCTTCTTCTTCTTCTTCTTCTTCTTCTCCTCCTCCTCCTCCTCCTCCTCCTCCTCCTCCTCCTCCTCCTCCTCCTCCTTCTTCTTCATTCTCTTTTTCTACACACCATGGATCCAGTCTATGACCTCACACTTGCCAGGCAGATGCTATGCCACTGAGCTATGTCTTAGGTCTCACAGTTATTTCTGACATTTTTAAAACTAAAAATATTTCATGGAACTATATTAATAATTATGTTACTACAAAACTAAAAAATCTATTCAACTGCAAATTTTTAATAGATTAAAATGCAGAATCTGACTAACTAAAATAACTAGAAAATATGTCTAGATGTGTAATACATAAAAAATTTAATATCTAGTTAAAAATCCATGAAGAAAAGTTCATGATTATAAGGTTTCAATGGTGAATTCAAAAACATTTTTAAGGAAGCACTAGCACAGTTTGTTTACAAACATTTCCTCAGATTAGAAACCATGTCCAAATGCATTATATGGGTGTAACTGGACTTCTCTGATACTAAAAACAAGAGAAAAAGTCCCAAAAACCATGCTAGAGACAAACATATTTTACAATTTAAATGCACAAATTATCAACAAAATACTAGAAGTCAAAATCCAATAGTATATAAAAAAAAATTAGGTGGGCATGGGTATACCCCAGTGATCCCAACACTGTGGGAGGGTAAAATGGGAGAATCACAAGTTCCAATCCAGTTTGAGTAACTTAGTGACTTAATAAGAATCTGTAACAAAATGAAAAAAAAAACAATTAAAGGCCTGGAGATGTGATGTAAGTGCAAAGTTCCTGGGTTCAATCACAGAATTATACACTAAAAGTTGTAGGGAGTGGTGTGACTGACCCATTGCTGTCTCCCCACCTCTCCCTCTTATGGGCACATAATGCGCCTACATTAGCCATAATCCTCTCCTACTCACGTCACGTACACGGACGTGATGATGACCCATCAGAGATCACCCCATAGCCTTTTCCTGTCCCACCAGCCTGCCCCTGCCCTATAAAAGCAGTGACCACTTTATCAATAAATGAGGCTTGATTGGACTTCCTCAACTTGTCTCCGTCTCTCTGTCTCCTACCCTGCATCTGTCAATCCTCGTTCCTTCCCTGGAAACTGCCCCACAGATCTGGGTTGACCAGTGGGCCGGGTCAAATGGCGCCCATCGTGGGGCTCCTGGCATGAAGGGCTCAATGAGGGAGCCATCCTGAGACACGCAGGTAAAAGTGAAAGTAATAATTTTGTGACCAGTGCTACGCGGGAGCCTGCCATGCTGCTAGAGTCATGGTAAGTGGACTGCGATCCTTTCCCTTTTTTTCCGGCATGGGTCAGGCATTAAGTGATCATAAATGCTTTGTGTCAGATTTAAGTAAAGCTTTAAAGACAAAAGGGATAAAGGCTAAAGAAAAAGATTTGTTGCAGTACTTTCAATTTATTCATAAGGTTTGCCCTTGGTTTCCTTTAGAGGGCTCTATTGATGCAAAAAGATGGGAAAGAGTAGGAGATGCATTAAAAGATTACTATTGGGTCTTTGGCCCTGAAAAGGTCCCGGTTACAGCCTTTGCCTACTGGAACCTAATCTCGGAGGTACTTACACAGAGCTGCCGAGACCCTCAAATTGATGAAACAATCACCCAAGGCGAAGCCGCCTTATGCGCTTCCACTTTACCAACATTGCTCCCTTCAGGAGATGAATCTAAACCTTCTTGCCCCTCTGATGAGTCAAATGATATGTTTAAAAAGCCCCAAGATAGTGGCTCACTACCATCCGAGCCCCTACCACCTGAGACCCACCACAACTCTTTATACCCCAACCTCACTCCTTTACAAGAGGTCGATTGGAAACAATTAGCAGAAGAAGCTAGCTGACATCATTCGGACCCTATCGTAGCCCCCGTTTCCATAAAACCTCCCCCTCACTACAATAAGACACCCACATTTTCCAGCCCCTCTACTGTGCTTCTCGACTTAGAGATTCATGACTTGCAACAACAGGTCCAATTAGAACAAGAAAAACAAAGACTCATTCTGCAACTCCAAACTTTACGGATGAGCCATTTAGACACCACCCGTAAGATGGCACCACCTTCTAAAATGGCGCTTGCCTCACTTCTGCCACATCAAGGTGGGCCCCTCCCCAAAATGGCATTTCCGGTGATGGAAACAAATGTACCTCCCCAAGATGGCGCTGCACAGCTGCAAGACGGCGCTGCGCCGCCAGCTCCACAGGTCATTACCAAGCCAGACAGATTGTAAGAGACTGCCCATCCTGTGCTATCCATCTACCCATGCAACACTTAGGGATTAATCCAAGAGGCCTTGTTCCCAATGCCCTGTGGCAAATGGATGTCACTCATATCCCAGAATTTGGCAACCTAAAATATGTCCATGTGAGCATTGATACATACAGTGGCTTTATCTTCACCACCCTCCAAACCGGAGAGGCTACCAAACATATCATTGCTCACATGCTGTCAGCTTTATCAGTGCTTGGAAACCCTCATCAACTTAAGACTGACAATGGTCCTGGATATACTAGCACTTCCTTTGCCTACTTCGGCACGTGCCTCAACATCCTCCATACAACAGGA